ATGAAAGGCTACCGTGGGTATCATGGGCAAAATTTAATGTTCTTTGCATTTTCCTTTTATTCAGTGCTTTTATGTATTATGATCATTCTCAAAATGTGTTGCGCTGCTTTAAAATGAAAATATCTAGAAAATTATGTTGTAAATTATGTTTTAGGTTTTCAGAATAAACCTTTTTTGGGGTACTTTTAACACATGAAATTTGATGATGAGTATCATTTAAATATATTTGATGTAGGATTTTTTTTTAAATTGATATTTAATCTAAGAATGATGTGGCCAATATCTATAATGAATTATTCATTTTTTTAAAGTGCCCTTTATGCAGTTTTTTTTTCAAGTTATGTCTTATGTACTAATTAAGTTAGAAAATGCCCTGATTTTAAAGGAGAAATATGATATGAGATTATGATGTCATTTACTTTGAGTGGTAATCTCTCTTTAATAGCATGTCAATGTTGAATTATGAGATGATATTTTTTTTTGCACAGTTATGTTCAACTTAAAAAATTTATGAATATTTTTTTTTGGATATCAAACATGAATTTTATGTTGATTTTATGATAATGTTATTCCGTAATGATGTGATCATCACTAACGGACTAAAGTCACCTCAACAAAAATGCTAATGCGTGGTGCGGTTTTCCGCGTCGCACTATGCATCTAATAATGTTGGGCATGTGTGCTCCTTGAACAATACTAAGGTTTATGTTGATTCATTTTATATTGAAATTAAGATATGCACTGTTGAAATAAGCATAATTGACCAAAATAGTATTGATAAAGTTATGATTGATTTTCTAACCAAATAAATGTTGTTTAAAGAATTTTATGTGATATGCAATATCCTAGTCATTATATGACATTTTTATGAAATCTATCCAAAGTACATGTTGCCATTCATTTGACCATCATAATTTGTCAAATATTATTATTTCATGAATTATTATGTAACTTTATGTCCAAATTTTATTAATTTAATCTTATGATAACCTGACGATAATGTTAATGTCAATTTTAATGTTGGCAATGGCATTTATATTTATGACATTTTCACGCTGAATGCCCTCTTTAATGATTACTCGGTGGGAGGGACATTCCTATTTATATGTTAATTCAAATGTCATTTTCATTGTATGTCATTGACAATTCTAACGATAATTTTGACACTCAAGTTCAATATTTATATTATCGTTGTGAGATTTAGTGTCAAGAGGCATCATAGTGCCTCATGGCACACACGATTATATTATGATGTTACTTTATGTTAATGATGGCAATTAATTTAGTCGTAGTTCTTGTTGGTCATTACGAGATTTTACATCTCCCTAGTCAAAATGGAACCAACGAGAAGTTTTGATTAGAGATTTAATGAGCAAGCGTTCTAATGGCATATGATGATATTCTTATTGATTATGTTTTTCATGTGTCATTTACGAATGAGTAAGGTTCTTTTTTGTTATCTTCCCAACGGTGATACAAATTAGAATAAAAATTAAGCATGTTTTTATTCATGCCATTGCATGGTTAGTTCATGCATGATTTTTTGTTATGATGATCATAAAGTTGTCTCCTTTTTTCCAGCAATAATAATGATGTCAAACTTCTGTTTGGCATAGAAGAACCTTATGTAAATAACTTTTCCACATCGAGAGTGGAGATCATTGTCTCATGTAAGGAATCTCCCAATGTTTTTCTGCCATTAAGGTTGAAGGATGTTAATCATGATGATAAGACAAACATTGGGAGAGGACGCATGTGCCATCATGCACATCACTAATGCAAAGGAGATTAAAGTCAAAACTATTGGATTTATTCCACTAGTTTTTGGAGATGACTTAATTTTTCATCTTATTGATGATGCTTTGTTCATGCTCCTAGTTATTGGGAAACCTTGATTTGGTCTCTCAAATAGATGCCGTTATCTTATATGTTATTAAGTCAACTCCAATTATGTAATGTTAGTCCCACCTTATGGTGAGATGAATTATGTTTTCACTAATTGATTCTTTTGTAAAGATTAGATGCTATGTTATAATTGAGTATGCAAGAGAAGTGTAATTAATGAGACCTCATCAAAATTGTGGTTTTAGACCACATTTCGAGGGGGAGGCTAGAAGTCTCATTCAATATGATATATCGCGTTCACTTCTCCTACTTAGATTATAGCATGTACAACTAAGCAAACTATGTATCTCAATTCTCTAATTAAGATGGAACCAACGAGAAGTCTTGGTTGGAGAATGTATGAAAAGCACATTCTAATGTTGGTTCTCTAATTAAGATCCAACAAATCTTATTTAGAAGAATGAATGAAAAATGACTCCTTTATCATGTTAGCGTGTACTTAGTCCCTTATGAACATTACAAAGCACACATGAATGCTAAAGTGGCAAGCTTGCTAGTCTAATGACCATCATGATGTAACATGTTGATTATATATGACCAACGTCATTTATAATCATATGTGACACTTCACTCAAGTGGCAAGTTTGTTAGTATCATGTGGCTTGTGGTTATATTTTGACTAACGTTGTTTATAATCATTTGTCACTACTCTTTAAGTTCTTTTCCATCTTCAGCCCAACGGTGTTGTGGTTTAGAACTGAAATGATTATTATTAAGATTCTGGATATGTTTTTAAATCCTTTAAATAAAGTGATCATCGGGGAACCTAGAGAGTATGAACATGAATCTTAAGGATAACTCCATTAGATCTTTATTCATATGCATCAGGTAAGTTGAGAAAAAATGCCTATTGCAACACTTGATGTTGAGACTTAACAATTACCCAGTGATTGATAATGTGTGTGAACGATCATCTTAGAGGCTTGTGTGATAACGAGCTCTAATGATGTATGGGACTCAATAGAGTTTACTCAACGAGTTGTTGTGATGCTTGGATTGTTATTATAACATGCTCTTGTGTTGGCGAAGTTAAGAATGGTCTTAGGACTCAACCATAAGTTTTCGTCATGGAGAAGTTTGACATAAGGCATGTTATCTAAAGAAATACAATTATGAAATAATACAAGCATTGGGCCTCTCGTACCATAAAATGAGGGGGAGTAAGATTACTAACTTGTGAAGATGGAATATTTTTGGCGAGCCAATAATTTTTTTATCTTCTATTTATGACATAGGATCTTGGTGATGCCTCATACTTTGCTTGTATTGAATTTTGCCAAGATATAGGTCTGAAAGGAGTACAAATTTTATTATGACAACATACATCGATAGAGTACGAAAGAAAATATTAAGTGGTAGTACTCTATCTTACCTGCTACTAAAGTTAAGGGCAATAATGGTGGACATTTCGGTGTCCAAGGAACCATTATGAACTGATCAGATAATGTCGATTCCTTTATGCTTCGGTTGTTAGAAGCAGTATGTGTATTCAGGTATGAACGTGCCCTTGTTTGTGATCGGGATAATTGGCAAATATAGAAGTAAGTCCAGAAATGGACTAGTAGAAAAACCGCTACAGCCTTGTAGATATGCAAGGCAATAAAGTTTACATGCTCACTAATGAGAAGTTTGATAACCTTGATATCTTGTGTTATTCAGACATTGTTTATGCGAGATATGTGGATATTAAAGTTTCCACGTTACGTTACATCCTCATTCTTGCATATGGAGTTATATTGTGGAAAAGCTCCTTAATGACACTGATGGCATTAGAAATATGTATTTAATTATGTGGCGTGTTAAGAGGCTACTGGGCAGGTTATATGTCAAGAAATTTTATTCCCGAAATTATGGTGGTAGACAACATATTTTTAACCACCTACTGCAATATGATACGCAGTTTTCTATGCGAGTAACAACAAGTTGAATGGCATTGCCAAAGCCATTGACAATATGTTTAGTGTTGTGAAAAATAGAATCCAGGATCAAGCTATTGAAGTTGAGCGTATGAGAACATTTGAATGTTTTACGGATCCGTTTATCGAAGGCTTGCCACCCATACTTATGATTATGTTGCCGGCATGGGGTTACTGGAAAGCCTTTTGATCCTGAAAATGAGGACCGTTCAATAAACCAACTCCTATAAAGTAATATGTCATCCATTTCAAGATAGAATGGTGTACTATAAGTATTGAGGTTTAATGACACCTTTTGGCCATTAGAACACCTTACTTTGGTATATTATTTCTATTAAGAATGGGCTTATGATGTTTGTTAACCTTACGATCAAGGGGGAGAATGTTGGAATTAATCTACGGTTGAAACAAACCGTGAGAGAAAAGGGGAGCCTTTTGACCCCAGGTGTGCAATGATCGGAAGCACACCACACATCCACACGTTTGGTTTTGGTCCCATGTACCCAGCACACACACATATATAAGGAAAAGGGGGTTTTCATTATGGATAATGACATATCGATCTAAACCACCTAACTGCCGATCCTGAATATGTGCTGAGGTATGTGAAGGCCATCTCCACCACCGGCCACCGCAGAGCTGTGCCTGCGGCAACCCTGCTGTCATCCTCGCCACCGTGCTGCTTCTTCCCCAACATCTCCTCGCCACTGGAGACACAAAGGTGCAGCCGTGGGCTACACAGGGGCTGCATCGAGATATCGCCAAGTACCTGTAAGTTTGTACGCTTCCGCATAAAGTTGTTGATCTAGTCTGAGATTAGGACCATACGTTGATTAGCCTAAAGGCTAATTTATCTAACAATATACTCCCTCCGTTCCTGAATACTCTATAAGTCTTTTTAGACATTCCGCTACAAACTACATACAGATGTATATAGACATATTTTAGAGTGTAGATTCACTCATTTTGCTCCGTATGTAGTCCATAGTGTAATCTCTAGAAAGACTTATATTTGGGAACGGAGGAAGTAGATGCATGTAGGCACAAGTTGTATACCATTATACAAGTCCCTTTTTATTTCACTGCATCTAAACAAAAAACAGGAAATTCAACTTGGAGTGATCAAATAGAGAGAGAAAAAGGATAGACAATAATGAACATCTGCAAAGATCTAAAGATCTAGAGGCCAAACAAATGGCAGCTGTTGAGAACAAATGGTGGTTCGTTCACGAACAAGTCGTTAATCCAACTTCCGTCCGCTGCCGCGACGTGCACCGGCGACCTGATCGGTCCGTCGAAGTCCATCTCCTGGAGCAACGCAGCAGCAGCAGCGGGTGCCGGCGGCGAGGCGTTCCACCCCCAGCAGTCATCCTCGATAGCGAACATACGCGAATAATCGTCGCGCTCTCTCGGCGGTACATTGGCACCGCCGTCGCTGCCGCCGCTGCTCCATGTGATATCCGAGGAGCTTGCCGGAGATTGAGTCTCAGAACTGATAGCACCAGATCTGCTACCGGGAACGACGGCGACGTTGGGAGCTGCTGCTGTGTCGGTGCGGACGGTGGTCTCGAGGATCACCGGCACGGCCGCCGACTCGGTCGCCTTGCAGCTGTGCTCCGAGATGTACACCACCGTATACTTCGGCCGTCCATCGTCGCTGCCGTCATCGTCATTGCGCTGCACCGTTCGTTTGGCCGGGCAGCCCTGGTTCGTGCTGTTGGTGCACCGATAGTAATTCCTGCCAGTTGCCATATTGATGAAGAGCGATTTAGCTTTAGTCCTTGTTATAGTCTTCAATTAATTAACCCGAGCATGCGTAAGCATCATACGTCTTCTTGATGATGCCATCGATGTCAGATGCATCATCGTGTATCACGGGTACATGAAGGGGGTCCCAACTTATGAATCACTGTCGAGAGATAGGTGCACGTATCCAAACAGACAGCGAGCAGTCTGGATACGATAACGAAACGACATATATTTAGCTACTCCTAGTTTGGTTGATTGGCTCCCTTGCATGGCTTTCCACGTTTTGAGATAAGAGAGTGTAAAAAATATATTAAATCTTTGTTTCTAAATCAAGGATCAAAAGCACTGATGTTTTTATACAGCGAATACAATTTATTGTACTACAAATTTAGCGAAAGCATTGAGTACTTAATCTTCTTGTTAGTTAGGTTAAAGCATGCATGCATGCGATGATACTACTATACTTAGTCGTTAAATTGAAGGGTGGCCTGTCATGGGCAAAATATTGGGTCATGAGTCATTTCAGCCTTTCATTAGTTATAAGAATGATACCATGCAGGAATCTCCGGATGAAATCAAGTACTACATAAGATTTAGATGTGCAATATTTAGGGCACAGATGTGCTTTAGCAAAACCGTATAAGAATAAATGGTTGTGATTTTCTTTCTCTTTCAACCCTAATCCTCCCCATCTCTTTCCAACTTAAAATCTTGTGCCGCCTCCACCATTATTAACGAGGCCCTTCTCTACAATAGCAACCAGCACACCATCCGCCGTCACCATCTCTCGAATTGCCATCACCGCCACACTAACATCAGGGGGCAGGGGGTTCAAAAATAAAACATCAGGAGGGCAGGTGCTCGCTGTACCCCGGCGGCCAGCTCCGCCAGATTGGAAGAAGAAGATGAGAAAAGTACTAGCACGTACGGTGGAGCTACAAGTTTAAGAAACTGATAATAGCAAATGTTGTACTAATAGTATTAAATTATTTACCTGGGATGCTTGGCCGCTTCGATTTGCTTCTGGCCGTACTTCCTCCACTGGTAGCCGTCGAAATCCGGCACCGTTGTGACGAGCGTCGTCGTCGTTGCCCCTTGCTTCTTCCTCCTGCAACGAGTAGTAGCCTTCGTCGCAGGCGCAGCACCGCCGCGTTGTCCTTGCCCCTCCTCGTGCCGTTCATCCTCCCGGACTCTCTTGCGACCCCCGCGCCGTTTGCCTCCGCCGCACGACGCGGTTGCCTTCACCTGCGGGCTGCCGTGCTCCCAGTACAAGTCAGCTGCAGGACCAGAACACGAGGAGGCGCCGCTCCGAGACGGCGACGTGGACGGGAACAGCAGCTCGTGCAGCTGCGCCACCAGCTCCCTCTCCCGGCGCTGCAGCTGCATCCCGCCGTCCGCCGCTGCCCAGCCGTGCTCACCGCCCGGGGCACAACCTCTGCTCCTCTGCATTTCAGTTCGGATAGCTCGATGGTACGTGCGGCACGCAGACGAGTGTGTATATGACGCTAGCTAAGCTTGCTCAGATCAGACAAGCTAGACGTGGAAAGAAAAGGTGTTGGTTGCTCCGGTAGCTTCAGACTCTGGAAGTCGCGGAGGCTCCTTTATAGAGAGGATCAGGATCTCTCGGTGCGCTGAACGTCAACAAAAGACGTGGGCCCACAGACTTTACACACCCACGTGGCGGTCCTTCCATGTTGATGGGGACGAGGAAGAGGATCCAACCCAGTGTGCGTGTGGGGACAACCGAAGCGAAAATCGTGGCGGGGAGGGAGGGGGCATATGCATGATAGGGTTAGCTCTTCTTGTCCCATATGTACGTGATGCACGCGCCAATATACACATGATATCATTTTTCCCGCGTAAACATTATAGGCAATTCAAGAAAGCAAATGTCCAGTTGATTTCCTATGAGAGAAGGCGATGCGGTGCGCAGCTCCGAGGCTGAGCTAGCTAGAGTCTTGCCGAAGACGGGGACGACGCGGGCAAGCTTGGAGAGAAGGGGAGGGCGGTGTTCCTATTGATCGCGGCTCGGAGTAGACAATGTCCGAGCTGGACAACACGATCGGTTGGGGCATCACCGGCCGAGGGCTTGCTAGGACATCGCTTCAGGCAGGGGCGCCGCCACATCACGGGTGGAGAAGGGAGCCTTTTTATTTTGATTGTTGCTCGGATTACATAACGCCCGAGCACGAGACGTACACATGGGACACCGTGGCCAAGCTCGAGGTTGTCTACTCTGACTGGAAGTCACAATGAAAAAGGCGCTTCCTTAAACGCGATAGCAATGTCGTCAACAAGGGTTTGGCAAGACATTCATCCGTAATAGGACCGTGTTGTCATCGGTGGAGGAGAGGGTAGAGGAAGACTTGAACAAGATCGGGAAGGAAGGAAGAAGGCCGAAAGGAGGAAGAAGGAGCAGCAATCGCATTTTAATCTAACGGCTGAAAACTGACTAGCATTTTTTTTTTCGAGCAACTGATATATAGGTGGCCCTATTTTTTTGTATCATGCAAGTGTGGATACATAATTGGGTATGTTTTATAACTTGATGAGCTATACGTAATCAAATATTGTCGGCAATTCGTAGGAGCACGCATGCATGCGGCCACCAATATCTGATGAAAACCATGCGGAAATGATGTTTTGAAGTTTAGAAAAAATCTAAAAAATGCGTGACGTTAAAGGGTGATGTTCTATTGCCATGTGAAATTTCCAATTCAAACACGTTATGGGATGTGAGTTATGAAAATAATAAAATGGGAGGGTTGTCTCCGGTAGCTCACAGAGTTATTAGTCCCTTCCAATCTGCTTTCATCAAAGGGTGTTTTATTTTAGACGGTATTCTCTCCCTTCATGAGATTGCTCATGACCTTCATGTGCGGAAATCCAAAGCTGTTATTCTCAAACTAGACTTTGAAAAAGCGTATGACTCAGTTAGCTGGCCTTTTCTCAGGCAGATTCTGCTTGCCAAAGGGTTCGACGGCGCCTATGTTCACCGTATCATGCAGTTGGTCTCGGGTGGCCACACTGCAGTTGCCGTAAATGGCGCTATTAGCAACTTCTTTGCAAATGGGAGGGGCCTCCGCCAAGGGGATCCTGCCTCCCCTGTTCTTTTCAACTTTGTGGCTGACGCCTTCTCCTGTATGCTCTCCAAAGCGGCTCGATGTGGACACATTATTCCTGTGGTCTCTCACCTACTTCCGGAAGGGGTCTCTCATCTGCAATATGCGGATGACACAATCATCTTGGTGGAGTTGGACAATGCTTGTATTGCCAATCTGAAATTCATTTTTTTGTGTTTCGAAGCTGTTTCTGGTCTTAAGATCAACTTCGCCAAGAGTGAGGTTATGGTGACGGGGGTTGACCGGGCGGAGGCCTTGCGGGTGGCCAGGCTCCTAAACTGCTCCTTAGGTTCCTTCCCTTTCAAATATTTAGGTCTCCCTATCTCCCCTGGTCTGCTTCACGCGAAAGACTTCGCTCCGGTGGTTGCTAAAGTGGGGAATAGGGTGCTTCCTTGGAGGGGTAGATATAATACCAATGCCAGCAAAGTGGCTCTCATCAACTCTTGCCTATCCTCTCTCCCGATGTTCCTTATGGGCTTCTATCGTCTCACGAATGGTGTGCATGATGGCTTCGACAAACATAGGGGTGGCTTCTATTGGAATTCTGCTGATAACAAAAGAAAGTATAGGTTGGTTAAATGGCAGCTTATGTGCAAGCCTAAAAACCTTGGGGGGTTAGGCATTATTAACACTCGGGTGATGAATATCTGTCTGCTCATTAAGTGGTGGTGGAAAATTATGACGGTGGGGGCCGATGCGCTATGGTTTTCGATTCTTAAGGCTAAATATTTTCCTAATTCCAACCCCATGTTTGCCCCTGCGCGGCGTGGTTCGCAGTTTTGGAAAGCCCTTATTAAAGTTCGGCCGATTTTTTTGGAGCACGTCAAGTTTTGTGTGGGTAATGGGACTGCTGTTCGTTTTTGGTTAGATTGGTGGTCTGGGGATGCTCTCCTGGCTGTTAGCTTTCCGGTTTTGTTTTCTTAGTGCCCCAATCCGCATATCTCCATCGCGGAGGTGGCTGCTAATAACTGGGACTTGGCTTTTCGTCGGGCCCTGTCTCCTGAAGAGTTGGAAGAATGGCAAAGTCTCTCTGCCCTCTTCCATGTGCTCTCGGAGGAGGCCGACTCCATGGTCTGGCCACATGCGGCCTCTGGTAAATTTTCGGTCAAATCGCTGTATTCTAGACTCATTGGTGGTTCTACTTCGGCTCGATTCTCTTGTGTTTGGAAATCCAAGGTCCCTCCTAAGATTAAGATTTTCCTCTGGCAAGCCTTCTGTGGTCGCCTTCCTACTGCCGATCAGATCAAAAAACGCAATGGGCCGGGCTCAGAATTCTGTAACTTGTGTGGGGCGTTGGAAAACTCGAATCACATCTTTTTCAACTGTGCTCTTGCCAAATTAGTTTGGTCTTGCGTCCGATCCTGGCTTCGGGTTTCCTGGAATCCCTCCTCTTTCTCCGATATTAGATCCCTAGCCAAATCTTTGGTAGGGGTCACCAAGAGGGTATTTTGGGTCGGCTTGGGAGCCTTATGTTGGGCTCTATGGACCATTAGAAACAAATTTACTATTGAGCTTACATTCCCTTCTAAGCCTGCTGATGTTCTTTTCAAATCATGTATATTCTTGCAGCAGTGGAGATTATTGACTAAGGAGCCAGATCGGGACGCCCTCGACCTGCTCATCGCAAAAATTCGGGCTTCAGCTTCTCAGATCTCCGGGACGAATCATGGCGTATAATTCTGGTGCTGTAGTTTGCGGGACTTAGGGTTCCCTCTCTCCCCGGCCTGCGTGCCGTGTTTGGCAGTTGCCTGTATCGTTGGTACTTTGGGTCCTTTTAACTTCTCTTTGTGGCTCTGTGATTGTGTGAACCTTGGGTATTCGTGACGCTGCCGTGTGGCTTTATTTATAAAGTCAGGCCTTGGCCTTTTCTCTAAAAAAATGAAAATAATAAAATCAACATTGAATAGTGCCGAAAGTAATGTCACTATTTGTTGCTGAATTTGTTTTTTTTCGCATAGATCACATCTTGTAATGTGTTTCAACTTGGATACAACATCACCCTATTAACATCCAATATTTTTTCTAGATTGTTCAAAACTTTCAAATGTGGTTTACACGAAGTTTTCTTTGAATGTTGCTTTTCATGTGATATTCTCCCCTCTTTTATACCATTAGCCCTTAATCATTTCAGTGAGTCCATGCATGTCATCTTTTGGCAGAACTGCATGGGGCACCCACCCCCTATACCATACTTTTTTTATTTCATCTTAAAAGTTGAATCTATTGTATCTTTTGAATCGAAAGTTCAAATTAAGTTTCATTGGATATTCGTATTCGTTGCAACGAGTACTTTCAAACAAGACCGATTTTGAATACATGTAGAACTTGATAGTCATAATATTAAGTTTTACAAAGCTTCACCAAGTTACCAAGTTCATTTGCTTTTAGGGATTTAGGGCTTAGAGCTTAGGTTTAAGTTCTAGTCACTAGAACTTGTTTTTTTTAACTGGGCAAAATATTTTCCACTTTCATTGATTAAGAAGAAGGTTTAGAGTTTTTGGCCAAAGGCCGAATTACAAAGTCATCACTCTCGCAGCACTACAGTACTCAAATATTTGGCCCCTGCAAGGCACCAACACTTTGAAACATCTTTGATTCTTGCAACAAGAACCCCAACCGGCACCGCGGTGTTACGGAAGACGCATGCATTCCTCTCGTTCCAAATTTCCCATGAGATCAACATAATAAGAGACATCATCGCCCGTCGAGACTGCGATGCGTTGGAGTCAATGAGGTTCCACCAGGCTTTCACCAAATGGACCGTCACGCAAGCTGTAGGGTTCACATCAACCAAGCCAAGCCAAGATTTGATCATTTCCTAAACTCGAACCGTGTAGCGGCATTGGAAAAGGAGGTGAGCCGCGGTTTCCTGAACTTGCTTGCTGTGGGGGCAGCGATCACAGTTAGGCCATCCACGTCACTGGAACTTGTTGAATTAACTACTATTCATTCTAGCAAGTTTAAGTAGTTGAAACTTGCTCAAGTGTTTAAAACTCGTCAAAACGTATTTAAAAATGTGTTTGTTTCAAAGCCCTCATCACAAGGAACACGCATATGCAAATGAGATATAAATTGAATTTTCGATTCAAAAGATATAATAGATTCAAATTTACAAGTCAAAAAAACATGGAAGGTGGGATGGACGGGGCATATGCACTCTCATTCAAAAGTTGTACCAGAATCTGCATGCACGCCGTAATTAAGCTCTAATCATAAAAGCATTTTTTAAAATATTGACGCGATCATGCGGCCACACGCATCGTGCCCCCGAATATCGTTGCACTGGATGATACGATCAGCTACTAGATAGTGCTCACATCGCTACCG